TTGCTGAGGGTGCACTCTGTCCCTTCCTCCAGGTCATTGAGGAATACATTGAACAAGACTGGACCCAGGACTGAGCCCTGGGGGACACCACTAGCCACAGGCCTCCAACTAGACTCCGCACCATTCACCACAACCCTCTGAGCTCGGCCATCCAGCCAGTTCTCAATCCACCTCACTGTCCACTCGTCTAGCCCACACTTCCTGAGCTTACCTAGGAGGATGTGATGGGAGACAGTGTCCAAAGCCTTTCTGGAGTCCAGGGAGACAACACCCACTGCTCTGCCCTCAGCTACCCAGCTAGTCATTCCATCATAGAAGGCTATCAGATTGGTCAAGCATGATTTCCCTTTGGTGAATCCATGCTCACCACTCCTGATGACCTTCATGCCCTCCAGATGCTTAGTGACCACCTCCAGGAGGAGCTGTTCCATCACCTTTCCAGGGATGGAAGTGAGGCTGACAGGCCTGTAGTTTCCTGGCTCCTCCTCCTTGCCCTTTTTGAAGACTGGAGTGACACTGGCTTTCTTCCAGTCCTCAGGCACCTCTCCTGATCTCCAGGACCTTTCCAAGAGGATGGAGAGTGGCCTAGCAATAACATCCGCCAGCTCCCTCAGCACTCGTGGGTGCATCCCATCGGGGCCCATGGACTTATGGATGTCAAGTTTGGACAAATGATCTCGAACCCGATCCTCCTCAACCAAGGGAGAGTCTTCCTTTCTCCAGACTTTCTCTCTTGTCTCTTCTTGCCTTAGCAGTGAAGACCGAAGCAGAGAAGGCATTCAACAACTCTGCCTTCTTTGTATCCTTTGTTACCAGGGCACCCTCCCCATTCAACAGCAGGCCCACATTTTCCCTGTCTTTTGCTATTGATGTATTTGAAGAACCCCTTCTTGTTGTCCTTGACATCCCTTGCCAGATTTAAATCCAAATGGGCCTCAGCCTTCCTCGTCGCATCCCTGCATACTCTGACATTGTCTCTGTATTTCTCCCAAGTGGCCTCTCCTCTTTTCCACATTCTGTAGACCTCTTTCTTCTGCTGGAGTTTGGCCAGGACTTCCTTGCTCATCCATGCAGGTCTCCTGCCCACTTTGCTCGACTTCTTACTCAGAGGGATGCACTGTTCTTGAGCCTGGAGGAAGTGATACTTGAATATTAACCAGCTCTCCTGGACCCCGCTTCCTTCTAGGGCCCTACCCCAGGAGATTCCCCTAAGTAGGTCCCTGAAGAGGCCAAAGTTAGCTCTCCTGAAGTCCAGCGTTGCAATCCTACTTATTGCCCTGCTTCTTCCTCGTAGGATCCTGAACTCTACCATCTCATGGTCACTGCAGCCAACGCTGCCCCTAACCTTCACATCTCCAACTAGACCTTCTTTGTTAGTACAAGGTCTAGCAGCGCACCTCTCCTTGTTGGCGTCTCCACCATAAATAATAAGCACTTTAAAGTAACCATAAATAAAAAGTACTTTAAAGAAGCTCAAGTTTAGAATTCCAATCATTAAAAACGCTACCAAAAGTCATCCTCAAAAGTTATGCAGAATTTTTGAGACCATCTAACTAGGTCACATTTGAAAAATTTGTTACCTAAAGGAAACATTATACTTCACAACCTTACATAAAAGGTACAAGCAAAACAGGTGGAGCTTAGCTTTCCTGAAAGGGTTTCCAAAGTCCATCCTTATGCCATATACATAATAATACTTTTCTTTAATGGGCTTATTGTTATTATTAATAGTAAAAAAAAAAAAAAAAAAAAAGTAGCATTTAATTAATTTACTGATCCTCACAAAAGTCATGCTGAAAGTTAGTTCTATCAGGCCAAGAGGCAAAATGAATCAGTAGTGCAGCCACGTCAGAGATCAAAGTTATTGTTTCTCAAAAATACACTGAATCTTTTATAGTATGTTGATTGGTCTGTTTAGACGCATTCCGTAACTTAACAACTATGTCTAGCTGCATGACCTGAGGGAAAGTGTAGGAGATGTTTCTCAAAACTCCTGGGTATGCAAACTTTGGGAGTCCCTGTTCAACCAGACAACGACGGACAAAATTTCTCCCTTTCCCTCCTTCTCTGTCAGAAGATTTCCCAAAGCTGTGTAGCTACAGTTAATCCTGGTATTATTGCAATCCTGGTATGCTCTTAGAGCTACTGTGCTGCTGTGAAAGACTGCCAGAATTTGGACTCAGGTTAACTACCCACAGAATTAGCCAAAACCTCAGCAGTGCTCACCAGAAGTTTTAGCAAAGAATAAGTACAATACTATTGTTCTCTTGAAGATCTTTTTAAGGAAAGCAAATTTCAGACTTGAGTAAAATGTTTCTGTAGGAGAAGGAATGAGTGCAGCAGGACACAAGGGCATTTTTTCTTTGACAATGGCATTCCTCTCCTTGCTAAAGCAGATGAATGAGTAAAATGAATGAGTTAACTTTGAAGTTAAGTCATATAATTTGATCTAGAACAGAGACTAAGACTGATGTTTTTGAATCCGTAAAAATACGTTGACACCACTGAAAACAAAGACTTGACAGCATTCTTAATTCTCTTGTTAATTTTAACCTCCTTAGCATTTTTGTTTTCAGCTTCCACGAGGCCATGATTGGATAGTCCTTATTCAAGTACCTTAAAGGAGAAACCTACCTTCTCTCTCTTCAGTCTCCCCTGTGAGCTCACTAACTGCCAGGCATTTTCGCCCTATATGCAGCTTAACAGTCTTGAATCTGAAGCTCTTAACGTTCCCTGGTTTATGAGAACTAAGTAGCCAGTAGGCTTTTCCCAATCTGCTGAATCTCTGGCTTTGCTAAAACTTTCAACATTCTCCAAGAACTTTGTAAAAAATGACTGCTCTACCCTTGTTGCCTACGTTTGCTCTCACAGTTAGATTTCACAGATTTGGCTGTTTTCATACCCTGCGTTTCCTGTCAAAATAGGTGCAGTAGCTGCTGTTCATACTTCCTGTCTTGAACTCAAGCAAGAAGGGGAGCACCTAGCAATGTTATTAAATGCTGCTGAGCAAGCTGCTAAAGATGCTTGATATTCACACAAAGCTCCACCATTAAAAAAAAAAACAAAAAAACCCCCAACTCTACAGAGGTGGCACATTTGTTTTTAGACAGCATTATAACTTTTACCTGATTTGGATACCCGTTCCAGCACTGTCTGGTGTTCCAGAGCCAAGGTGTCTGAGAGAGAGAGAAAAAAAAAAAATGTTCTGTACAAACTATTCTGGACATTGTAGATATGCATGGTTAATACAGGTGAAGGGCAAAACCATAGGAAGAGCTTAATACTTCCACTTTCTTCTAAAGGCCCTGAGACTTGAATACAAGAAGTAGATTCATCAAAGTTTCACAGTATGAATTGGATCAACCTACCCATTGACAGAGATTTTCATTTAGTGCAGCATGACCTTACATGAATATATTTCACAGACACGTAGGCTGAACATCAATCTGTTTGTAGCCAGGTGGTTAGAACTCACGTTGCCTTCTCAACAGCACTACAAATCTTGGACCTAGACTGCTCAAATATTTAGCAAGAACTTGCCTTGCATATACTGTTACATATAAGCACCCTTCCATACAGTACTTAATCCCAGCCATATCCCTCTCCAGAGGACAAATCGTGCCTTTTGCTTTCCTGACTGGAGACGTGACTGCTCAGAGATGATGGACCTTGCTAGCACATGGAATAATCTGGTAGCTCAGGACAACATGAAAGGTGCCAGAGACACACCTACTGTAGCATGCAAGACACCCATAGACTCTTCCACTGCAAAAAGCTGGGCAGACTAGAAGATGTGAGAGTAAGATCCTTTGGCACATACAGCTCTGTTGTACTTCCTGTCTTTTTATTGCATGTACAAGATTTATGTGATTATTTCTTTTCCAAGGCCATGAAAGACAAGAAACTCTAAAATCTGTTGTTGTAGGCAGTGTGTATCTTTAGGAGTTCTTCAGTCTTTCATTCCTTCTTTTCTGTGCAACTGAATGAACCCTACATAGAAAATACCATACGGGCAAGCCCTTCTACTCCACGTCTTCAACCATTGAATATTTCTGCAATGGACAACAAGAACATGACCAATCAACAGCAACCAAAATAGATATACTTCCTTTTTTGTGCATGAGCAGGAAGGACTCCTTTTAGATACTCTTCTAAAGCACAGCTGCATCTTGGGTTCTGACAGTATTTGTATTTTGAGAAGCACATCTGCACAGCAAAAGGACCTACCCACTGCAGATCTCACTAGAAACACAAAAGAAAACTGTGGATTCAAGGTCTGTGTGAGACTCCTTGACAAAACCTCAGCCGCTCTACATCCAAGTAGAAAAGGTGCAGGAATTGTTAGCAGGTATCCTGAATTAAGACAAGATTATATTTTTTTGAATGAATCCTTTATGCAGGAGAGCGCATTATCTTGATTTCACCATCAGGTGGAGCAGTCCAGCTTAGGCAACGCATAGTAACAAATTCACGCAAAATATAACGTGTGAGCGTCAAACCAAATAAAATGAACATTAAGTGGCATGTTGCTCTGGGGTTTGAAGCCCCAAGTTGAGAATCAAGCTAGTACTGTCTTTACAAATAGGAAGGATCTGTACCATGAAGACAGACAGCATAAACACTAGTCAGCACTACCTCCCCATTCCCAACTCAAAGAGCAAGCTCTAAATATGATTTGTCTCATAGAATGTCCCCACAGTCTTTGCTGGTTAGCAGTGATGTAATATGAGCACTAAGGGCTCTTTCTGTTTTTTGGAAACGTGCCCTTCACATGGAAAGTACAATAAAATAGAACTTAATCACATACACATCTCCAATGCTCCTGAAGTGGAAAGGAATAATACTTACAATAAATCAGAGCTGTATACCAACATCTACAAATAACAGGCTTCCTGGAGTCTCTAATATGCCACTCAGAAGATGGCTCTAAGCTTGATAAAAGTTCATTCAAACTTCTCCTTCTCTCTATTAAGAAAAAATATTTAACGCAAGCAATTCATTTGTTCAAACATCTCCACAGTAGTTACTGCCCTAAGGAAATGCAATGAAAGAGGTCTCTGGAAATAGGCATAGCTCCTCTGCAAGTGTTACTGATACATAGGACTTAAAATATTTCTGTCTGGCAGCTGCCTAAATTAGAGCCATCCAAATATCGTAGGATAATTCATAGTTTTAGCCAGGTTTGAAAAGCTGTAACTGTCTTTCATATCAGATTCAACTAGAGATAAGAGATGCTTCCTACCCAATTATTTTCCTACCTAAATTACAGGTGCTAGCAAAAAATGCACGTTTTTCTCTTTCAAATATTATGACACCTTAAGGTTTCTTCAGAGAAATGCCTGCTATAGGAGCTGCAGATACAGAGGTCTACATACAGTTAAAATGCTGAACACTAAATAAAACAGGCCCCATCGGAGGAGCCCTTACAGTTTTACCACTAAGCCTGATACCACAAACTGACAGACAACATAATATACGCACGGAGTCTCAGAGACTGATGCAGTGCAGAACATCTGCCTTTTCTGAGCCACATAAGGCTCAGAAGACCGTGGTGCCATCTCAAACAAAATGCTCCTCCGATGCTGTCTGTTGGATCCTGCAGGGGCAACAGCTGGGCAATGGTGGCTAAAAAAGCAGGGGATCTACACCACCTTCTTACCCTGTGTCATCCCCAGTTCCCCTCCTCTCCCCTCGCCTTGGCTACTTGGAGCCGGCTCCAATCGTTGTAGTATAAGGGGATGAAGGTTACGGTTGCCCTGGAGGACTTGAGCAAAGAGGTAGAGAAAGAGCAATCGGCTTAAGCACAGTCGTCCTCTCTGATCTCCACAATAAATGCAGTGCTAGACTGACCCTAACTTTTCCATTAAGACCATGGTTGTAGTTGAAGCAATAAGCATCTTGTTTAGTTCCTCTGTGAACCTCACAACTGTGGAGTACTCTCTACAGGCTTCAGCAGAAAGGAGAGGGTCCTAAAAACATCCACGCAGTCTGTAATGTAACACCTAGACACACTGGTAAGGGGGGAATTAATCCGAAAGGACTTAATACTGACATTGTCAGGGCTCACTTGAGCCCTGCATAAGCTCACAAGATATGCTCAGCTCTCCTTGAACAGTCCCATGAAGGACAGTGAAAAAAGGGTCAATCATTCAGCTTTGAAGCAGATTCCTTCCGGATGAACATAAGAAGTGTGCTACTGTTTCCACTGCCTACTGAATGCCCAATTATGAAGAACAAGAAGTAAAGTGGAAAGATGTTTGTGGAAAAGGGGAACACAAGAGGAAGGGAGCATAAGGCAGGGAGAAGAGAGGAAATGCAAAGAACCAGAAGACAAACTGGCATCCTTAAACCAGAAATAGAGTACTAAAATCTTCAGTATCAATTTTGTTAGGCACAAAGCACCAGGCCTACAACACTGAAATCTTCCATTACATGACATGACAGAGTTCAGATGGAAACTTAAGCTTTACTGCACTTTGGTGCAGTGCCTAATCAGTGCAGCATCTATGCCAGTGAAGGATGATAAACAGCTGTTGAATCTGCTGTCATTTACAGCATTAAAGAACAAACCTCTGTTCTACTTCCTTACAAAAATATCTGTCAAAAGCTCCATCAAACCTCTTTCAACTCTACGATTAAAGGGAATAATTTTAAAGAACTTCAGAAAAAAACTTCTCTTGAGACAAGGGAATGACTGGGGTTTCTTTTTGTTTTTTTTTTTGTTTGTTTTTTAAAAAAAAAAAAAGATCTGAGATGTCTGCGCAGTAGCCAGAAGCCTCAGATTGTTTTGTATCCATTGTTCTATGCAGCTATCTTTAGAAAAAGCTTCTAATTGGGCCCGGACTTTCAGAAGCCCCAAAGCAATGAAAATCTGCATGTTTTGTTGAAAGTGCTGTTAGCATCTAGCATGTGAAAGAAAGGTCAGTTTTGATAGTAAATGGGAAAAAAAGGCAATATAATAAGAAAACTTCTATTTGTGATCTGCGCCCTCAGCAGTGAGTTGACTGAAAGGTATTTTTGGGTGCATTTTATTAGAGAGGCAAAAAATGCATCTGGTGAAGTATTATTTTAAAACAACAAGTTAGATTTTGGTTCCGCATACAGTAATAAGAATAATCAAGAATACTCCTTTCTTATCCTTATGTACCCAGCAGAACCAGCCGAGCACAGGAAACAAATCCTGTAGACTAGATTCTCAAATACACAGACAAGAAATGTACATGCCTCAGGCAAGTACTTTCCCATACTGTAAGCCTGCCAACCACCAGGTATGTGTATACCAGGCATTATATCCGTGTATGTGAGTTCCATGAACATTTTATACAAGAGGTTGTGTCTTCAAATTAAAAAATAATATATATGTATATCTGAGCAACTTACAGTGTAGGTCACATAATTTTGCAAAGTGATTGCTTTTTTGCAGCTAAAGTTACTTCCACAGCTCGTCTCATTGCCAGTTCCTGTAACAGTCATTGAGCCATCGGTACTTGCACCCAGCACAATCAGAAACTCAACTACACGAGTTGTATCCACCAACATTGGTGCTGCTTTGCCCCATAATGTCTTAGACATTCAGTCTTAGAAGTATGACACAAACAAGAGACGTGCAAAAAGTGAAGACAGTGTTGCTGGCATTCAGCTTGCTTTTTGTCATCCTTAAACTTGAAACAAATAGCATGTCAAAGAAACAGCTGCAGATGTACATCATTAAGCCTCATGACAGCAAAACCCAGCTCCCTACAGAGTAGCTTCTGCCCCAGCAGTCTGGAGTACTAGATAGAACTAATACCACCTGATCAGTTCCTGACCACTAGCACATGTTCTAACACCCAAAGGGGTTCTAAGATCCCAGATAAATAATGACAATAAAAAACTTCACTGAGTTCTCCAGTAGATAAATAAATACAGCCTGCCTGCTGTTTTTATCAAAATATAGCATGCAAAAATTCAGAAACTTTATAACACAGAATCCTCACTTCTCATGAAAGACTATTTATGCCACAAAACACATTTTGAAACAAAAATGTGACATTCCCAGTCCAGACGAGATTTAAAAAAAAAGTTGATCCTTTAAAACAAAAAAAAAACATAATGCAGAAATCCTGAGCATTCACTGAAAATATTCTCACTGCTCTAAAATCTCAGAATGATGAGATTTTATTTGGCTTAGTTACTA